TGTGTGAAAAACAGACAGAAAGGAAGTGAGAAAGAAAGAAAGAAAGTAAGAAAGTAAGAAGGAGCGGGAGAGAGAGAGAGGGAGACAAAGTGTGAGTATGTGTGTTTGTGTGTGTGTGTGTCTGTGTGTTAAAGAGAGAGAGAGAGAGAGAGATGAGAGGGGGGGGGCTTGAGAAAAAGAGAGAGATAAATAGATTTACACAAAGGAAATGTTTCGGAGAAAAATGAGTAGGATAATAGTGTGTGTGTTCAGGCGCATTCTGCGGGCAGACATGAGTACATTTTAAAGCTTTGCGACCTGAAATAAATAGGCCCCTAAGCCCCATTTAATGACGCTCGTAAACGCCAGAAAATTACTCACTTTTGCATGAGAGAACACGCCTGAGCACGCATTCAGTCTTGATAGCGCGCAAGACGCAAGATCAACTCACATTCAGTAACAATAACAATAACATGAAAAGAAAGGAAAAAGAAGACAGCTTGGAAAAAGTAGATAAAAAGCAAAGCAAACTTGACAGAACGACGGGTCGTGAACTAAGCACAGACGAATTAAAGTTTATTTGCAAGCGCATTACATATAATATTACACGCCTGTCCATATTAATTTAATAAAACAACGTTAGTATAACTGGACTACTTTTGCGCGCAGGTGTAGTGTAACTATAGTGCGGTCAAAAATTCGTGGCGCAACTTTTCCTCAAATATCTCTTTAACGGGAGCAAAGTCACCCATACTTTGCACAGCAGTTGGTATTAAAATTTTTTAAAACTGAATCATATTTTTCCTCAACAATTGAGGCTCGATCAAAAAAATGTTCTTCATAAATGTATATAAAATACTAGGCATATAAATCTCCATCACGCGAAAAATGTGATTGTTCATAGCACTTCCCGCTTCTCGCACACATTTTACGCATGGCCTACGTCATAGCTACTGGATACCTCACAATCTTATTCAGATATTTAAACATTCTCCTAGTAATAATTCCTTACGTCAGGAGCTTCGTTAAACTGGCCGTTTTCCTCCAGTATTTTTGCAAAGTCCAGATGCATGCATATCTGTGTACGGTCCCGTAACACCACGCCTTAGCGCAGGGAGGACATACGGTCCCCTAGCGCCAAACGCTATAGGGGCGTACGGTCCCCTAGCGCCAAATGCTATTGGGGTGTACGGTCCCCTAACAATAGCCTTAAATAAAAGGAAGAGGCTAGCCGTACTTAATGACGGCTAGACTGGCAGTCTAGCCGTACTTAAGTACGGCTAGACTCACAGTCTAGCCGTACTTATTCTTAATATGATGGCTAGACTGACCATTTACAAAAAATAGGCCTACTGAATTGTAAATATACATTTTTAGTGTGCAGTACCTAAAGTATTTGTATTTGAGACAAAACCAGGTTCCTTAATGACAGTGCATGTATTTTAAACCTCCTGTTTTCTAATGTAAATAGGGCCTAAGATAAGTACGGCTAGACTGGCAGTCTAGCCGTACTTAAGTACGGGTAGACAGCCAGGCTAGCCGTACTTAAGGACGGCTAGACTGTCAGGCTAGCCGTACTTAATATTGATGGCTGAATTGTAAATGAAAATTTTAGTTTGCAATGCCTAAAGTATTTGTATTTCAGACAAAACCAAAACGTGCCTTACTGACTTGCATGTATTTGAACCTGAATAATTACTAGATCTAGATCTAATGAGACCTGTGTACTTAACAGGCTTGAGTCGATTGGGCCAAACCTAGATCTAAGTATGGCTAGACTGGCAGTCTAGCCGTACTTAAGTACGGCTAGCCACTTCGTAAATAAAATGCCTAGGCCTATAACTGCCACTATTGCCACCAGTAATTAAATCTACCCGACTTCTGCAACTGCTGTTTACACTCTCACTGACTGTGCTCCACTTACAATATTACAACTTACACGTGCAAGACTTGTTTACCTCTTGTCAGTTACATTTCATGGTTTCTTATATTATATATCTCTGAATCTGGATCACTCTGAACAGACTCAAGACTGGTGCATTCCACACGAGAAGGCATGCTCTCGTACTTCAATTTCTCTCCTGACGTCAAACACACTCTCCCGTCTTGTTCTCCTTACTTATAAGTTATATCAGAGGTCAGTAAGTAGCACATAGAATCTAGATCTATGGAATACTATACTACTATACTAGATCTAGATCTAGATTCTAGATCTAGATCTAGATCTAGATATTAGCTGTTTAGATTTCAGAGTATTTTTTTACACGAGCAATAGATCTAGATCTAGAATCTAGATCTAGATCTAGAATCTAGAATCTAGAATCTAGATTAGATCTAGATCTAGAATTAGATCTAGAAATCTAGATCTAGTGCATGACGGTTCGACACGACGTCTCACTCAACTCACATACAGTCACCAAATGATTTGCAAGTTCTCTGCTGTCACTCCACCAAGCCACAGAGATACATCATTCAGTGCGTCAGAGCCTTTTTTCAATATTTTTGCAGAGCAGACTTTGCCATCATACACGTCCTTAGTCCTGTCTAATAAGTCTTTTTCGTGTATCATTCACAAGAAGTTTCCTAATTAAGCAATAGCCTGTATCAGTTGATGGAAATTTAACCAATTCATTCACAATTTTTTACACTCGCCCAAGGCCTTTCAACGGAATAAAATTAACAAGTAGATCTAGGCTAGATCTAATATAAAACTGTATCACACAGTGGGCACCTCAAAATGGGAATTTTTTGTTTTGCTAAATTTTATGCCCCGCCCCCATCCAAATTTGCTTCCGTTCCGGAAGAAGCTAAGAGTACTCGCAAAATTATTATCATTACTTTGTACGCACAATCTATTTTTGTTATCATCGCAGAATCACGAGCCCAGCAACAATGACAGGTAATTGATTGTATTGATCTGGCCTTATCGTATTTTGGGCCCAAGCTGAGTAATATGGATGCGACTCTCTGATGGAGCGGAACTACACGTAGTTTGTTTCTCAAGCGAAACTGGGGGCTCAGGGTTGTTACTTTGAGATTGTTTTTTCGGTTGTGATTTGACGTAAGTTGTAAGTGAGTCAGTGAGGGGAGGAAGTGCAGTAACATTACTGACTGTTGTACATTCACAATAATTTATCGAACGAACTGGTTTTTCTTCACTGGTTTAAATAACAACCGAAGGCTCTATCTCTTGCCTTACCTACTTATCACATGTTGTCAGACTTGCCATTATGGTTAGATTTATTTTATGCTTTACAAATGCTACGTTCATTCTGTGTGTATCACGCCTCTGTGTAAGCCTACTGTTGTTACTGAATTTTTCACTTCCTCCTCACTTCTCTCCTCAGTCCTCAGTTCCCCACCTTCTTGTTGCCTCTGTTTGTATTATGATTCCCCTAGCCCCTAGTATAGAATCTAGATGCTTTCATTTATTTGATTAAACGGATTGATTGAAATGACTTTTGTTTGAATCAGGGTAGTCAGGAAGGATGAATAATGAATTGACTATGATTGACACTAAACGGGAGGACTTTCGTAACATTCGACCACTATGAGTATGAGACAGTGCAATAGAGAATTAGGGTTAGGTCTCTTCTTTATTGTGTTTGTTGGGGTGGTTGCTCATTACGGAAGTCGTTCCCACTAAACTGAAAGTGTTAGCTTTTTACAACACGTAGACTTAATGACTGAGTGAATGGGAGTTCTGTGTAGTGAATTGTTTTAAATATAATATGGAAGAGGCTAGCCGTACTTAATGACGGCTAGACTGGCAGTCTAGCCGTACACTTAAGTACGGCTAGACTCTCAGTCTAGCCGTACTTATTCTTAATATGATGGCTAGACTGACCATTTAACAAAAAATAGGCCTACTGAATTGTAAATATACTTTTTTAGTGTGCAGTACCTAAAGTATTTGTATTTGAGACGAAACCAGGTGCCTAAATGACAGTGCATGTATTTTAAACCTCCTGTTTTCTAATGTTAATAGGGCCTAAGATAAGTACGGCTAGACTGGCAGTCTAGCCGTACTTAAGTACGGGTAGACAGCCAGGCTAGCCGTACTTAAGGACGGCTAGACTGTCAGGCTAGCCGTACTTAATATTGATGGCTAAATTGTAAATGAAATTTTTAGTTTGCAATGTCTAAAGTATTTGTATTTCAGACAAAACAAAAAGGTGCCTTACTGACTTGCATGTATTTGAACCTGAATAATTACTAGATCTAGATCTAATGAGACCTGTGTACTTAACAGGCTTGAGTCGATAGGGCCAAACCTAGATCTAAGTACGGCTAGACTTGCAGTCTAGCCGTACTTAAGTACGGCTAGACTCTCAGTCTAGCCGTACTTAAGTACGGCTAGCCACTTCGATATAATATATGCCCTCAGTTATGATAGTGATAGTTTAAATCATAGATTAGCCTAAACAGTTAATATTAATATTTTCCCTGATTATCAGCATAGGTGTGTTGCATTGCTGCTGATATTCAGTGATGTGTACCCTTTTTTCTGTCTCAACACTCAACTTTGGCTTTGGCAATGCAACTTAAAGTAGACTGAACAGGAATGTTTTGACAACCGAGGATAAAAGGCTTTAAGGGGTGACTGTACAAGTTGGCAAATCACAAGTTCAGTTATAAAGAAATATACCAGTACAACAGATATTATATAATCATATGGAAAGAAAAACAAGCCAACTTGATAGATTGTATGACTTTTATAAAACAATGCAAAAAATTCCAAACCTTGAAATTTAACATCATGGTCAAAGCCTAGAAAAGTAAGCAAAATGAAATTGAATTGACATAAAACTGACCAATTTTTTTCAGCTAACATCAATAATTTCACCTTTATTTTGTTATTGATTGTCTCCAGCAGCCCAATATAATCCTTTCTTTTCTTGTGTGAAAGTTTTCAAATTACTCGGAATACATTTATTATATAATCCAGGTTTTGTGGGGCAATGGTAGCTTTTTGCGCCTGGAAGGACTAGGCTAGATTAGAACTAAAACCCCCTTGAAACAAAAGAGATCCAGTCTCATCAAGATCATAGATTTCAAATATGATGTTTCTATTTCAGTTGCAGACAATATCCCTGATCAACAATTGAAATTGAATTATAAATGCCATACATTTGTTGTATATAAATTATAAAGTCCTGAGTTAGAATCAGCTGATTTGATGCCATAATTCATACATCATATAAGAAGGTCACTTGTTGACTCTATTTATGCCACACATCACATGTAGTGAAGGGGTTAATAACTTTGCTGCTTTGAGCACTCACACAGAGTAAATGTGGCCTTTTAAAAAACTTGTACACAATGTCTAAGGCTGACACTAACTTCCTGCTGGCAATAACTATGTGCTGGAGCACCCTAAATAGCTGAGTGGGTTAAGATTGAGTGCAACCTAGTTTGTCTTGCAATCACTAACTTGCCTTGGACATTTTTTCTGTGTGAAACGTTGAAGTTAAGCCCAAATTCAATTCAAACATACACTTTTGACACCTTTGTTTTGAAAGATGATAGTGTTTCCAAACTTTTTCTATGGTATCTGTTTTCTCAAAATGACTTTTACTAATTTTCAGCTGTAATATACTCCCTTTGTTTTAGTTTTCGAAAATTTGGAAAAGATTTTGGGATAAAATCCTCAGGGATTTGGAAATAGAAAAAAAAGCTCACTTTTGTAAAATAACAATGGCATTTTAGACTTAATGGGATTTTAGATGGCCCTATAGGTTACAAATCATTGAGCAAGTGTTTTGTTCCTGTGTGCTGTTGGCATCGCTGACCGATTATTACGCCACAGCGCCAGAAGAGAGAGAGAGTAAATGATCGTTCACGTTCTTTTTTCTTGTCCCCTTTTGTGCAGCCTTAGTGGGATATTGACTGCATGAATCCCCAACGGAGCTCAACGACTTCTGTAGGTGTGGACAGCTCTCCCACGGAGAGGACCGGACTAATGAGTAACCTGACAGGCGGGGAGTGGGCGGGGGAGAGTGGGAACTTCTCTCCGGTCCGCCGCTACTCTGCCGCGGACGATGAGGCCACGACGGTGCCAGAGGTACAGCAGGCTGTGTGTGTGTTCGTGCGTGTGTTGGTGGGGGGGGGGGGGGGTGGGTTGTTTGTTCGTGTGTGTGTTTCTGTGGGTGGGTGTACGCATGCGTGTGTGTGTGTTGCATCTCAGCTCAGTGTCTGCTTATCCTTCACGTTGACTGTTTCATTTACTTTTTGATCTAGTATTTTTTATTTAGAATTGTTTGATTACACTACTATTTTTCCCATTATGTTCTGTTCTCACAACTGGCAGTCCCTTCTTTTAAATTGTTTCCTTTTACTCTACTCTTCCTATTCATTCTCCCTTTTCACTTTTTTGGTATACATTTCGACTCAAAACCAAAGAGCTAATCTTATAAGAATCTTTTCTTTCTCTTTTTTTGTTTGTTTGTTCCACATACGAGAACTCAAGGGTAGTGAACTGTAGGTTATTCAACACCCAATGAAGCTGATTTTTGTATGTATAATAACGTGCTTTTTTTTCTCAAATCAAGAGGGTTTTATCGTTCCGCTGTCAGACCGCAGTTTTTGAAGATGCTTTTTAAAGATGGGTATTCGTGCTGATGAGAGTCTCTGCAGTTTTATAAGACCTATTTTTTTATAAGTTCTGTGAAACTTAAAAAACTTTTTTTTAAACTAAGGTGGGGGGGTCAAAGTTTGTATTTGTATTTTAACAAGTAATTCTCCCCCCTCCCTCTTTCATCCCCCTGCTTCAGACATCAGTGGTGACCCCCTCGACCAACAGCACAACAAACCAGCAGCCGCAAAGTCAGAGAACGCGGCGCGGCGAAGGGTCTCAAAATAGATCTGACGGTGATGGAGCGGCGGCCACCCGTGGTGGCGGTGCCCAGCCAGCTGCTGCTGCGAGGCAGGAGGCGGGGAGAGGGAGCGGAGAGGCGGTGTCGGGGCAGCAGGAAGAGGAGGACGACGGGGAAGAGACGCTTCTGTACGGGGCCAAGCACGTCATCATGCTGTTTGTCCCCGTCACGCTGTGTATGGTGGTGGTGGTCGCGACCATCAGTTCCATCACGTACTACACCACGAAGGGAACCTATTTGTAAGTTGTTCACGCCGCGCTAGCTCTGGCCCTTTTTTTTTCTTTTTTCCTTCTCTGCTGCAGAAGTCGCTATCTGTTTTTGTTTTTTTTCTTCCATACTTTAGTTATCTTGTCTTTTAACTTGATAATAGTTGGGTTATGCGTGTGTATTTCTTGTCTGTACATTCCATACCACAACAAAGTTGGGTTATTGTGGTGTATATTTCCTGTCAGTACATTCTTTTCCATATTAAGAGTTGGGCTGTGTATGTGTGTCTTCTCCATGTGTGCAAGCTAAAAAAAAACTTTTGGGACAAGAGTTGGGTTATGTGTGTGTATTTCCCCAGCATGTACAAGTGTTGGGTTATTTGTGTGTATACTGTATTTCCCCAGTCTGTACAAGTGTTGGGTTATTTGTGTGTATACTGTATTTCCCCAGTCTGTACAAGTGTTGGGTTATGTGTGTGTATTTCCCCAGTCTGTACAAGTGTTGGGTTATGTGTGTGTATTTCCCCAGTCTGTACAAGTGTTGGGTTATGTGTGTGTATTTCCCCAGCCTGTACAAGTGTTTGGTTATGTGTGTGTATACTGTATTTCCCCAGTCTGTACAAAGAGTTGGGTTATGTATGTGTATACTGTATTTCCCCAGTCTGTACAAGTGTTGGGTTATGTGTGTGTATACTGTATTTCCGCAGTCTGTACACCCCATTCCATGACAAGTGTTAGGTAATGTGTGTGTATTTTCGCTGTCTGTACACAAGTTGGGTTATGTGTGTGTATACTGTATTTCTCCAGCCTGTACTAGTGTTAGGTTATGTGTGTGTATTTCCGCAGCCTGTACACAAGTTGGCTTATGTGTGAGCATTTCCGCAGTCTGTACAAGTGTTAGGTTATGTGTGTGTATTTCCGCAGCCTGTACACACGTGTTGGGTTATGTGTGTGTATTTCCGCAGTCTGTTCCACTGTTGTACCTCTGTTTCATGACTTTATGTTGGGTTATGTATGTGTATACTGTATTTCCCCGGCGTGTACACAAGTTGGGTTATGTATGTGTATACTGTATTTCCCCGCGACCAAGCTGTGGCAGTCTATGGCTTTATGTTGGGTTATATATGTGTATACTGTATTTCCCCAGTCTGTACACAAGTTGGGTTATGTGTATGTATACTGTATTTCCCCGCGACCAAGCTGTGGCAGTCTATGGCTTTCTGTTGGGTTATGTGTGTGTATACTGTATTTCCGCAGCCTGTACACCCCGTTCCACGACAAGACGGAAGACACCGGGACCAAGCTGTGGCAGTCTATGGCCAACGCCCTCATCCTGCTGGGCGCTATCATCGTCATGACCATCGTTCTCCTGCTCCTCTACAAGTACGAGTGCTACAAGGTCAGGAACAAACTATAAATAGAAACAGCAAATTGTTTTTCGTTCTCCTGCCCCTCTACAAGTATGAGTGCTACAATAGTTCTTTTTTTTTTTCCTATGAAACATCTGTTTTCCTTATCTCTCTCCTCCTTCTTTTCTTTGTATGTTACTCTCTAGTAACAGATCTAATCTTTCATCTGTGGCACTTATGTGATCTCACTCTGTTGCAAGTGCTGATCTTATTTAGTTCACAGGTATAAACTGCTTTTAAATGTAAAAAACTCCAAAGAACTTGTTGACTTAAGAAAAAGCATATTTCGTGTTTGTGTGTGTGTGCATGTGTGTACGTGGTGAAACACCAAACCAATGTGCGAGGGTCTGGACAATAAAGAGGTATCTTATCTTATCAGGTATGGCAACTCCATAGATAGGCGTGGCCTGGTTTATCGTAAATTTGGATTTAAAAGCCACTGAGCTTAGTACCGTTGTTTATTATGGGTTGTTGTTTTTTTATCCCTTTGAGGTGGAGAATGTTCACAACAGTTCTACTGAATATGAGTTTTTAAATTCCAATTTTGTAGTGGAATAGGTGTATTAATAGACCTTAACAATTCATTGGAAGTAAAGTGTAGGTTTAAACTTTTTACTTTTTATTCTTTTTTTTATTATATAGTCCTTTGCAGTAACATTTGAAATTAATTTGTACCGTATTGAAGGCATTTATGAGGTCTATCTTCTCTGACTAGTATTTTCAATATTTGCATACTCTGAATATTTTGGTGGCCCCCTTGTATATGAATATGTTTGTGGGTGGTTGGCGGGTGCTTTGGTATGGTTTGCTCCTTCTTTCCAATCAAACATCTATCGTCCTTTTTCTCTCCTCCTTCTTTTTTGTGTTTGTTACTCTCTTGTAACACATCTCTTCTTCGACACGTATATGACCTTATTGTGTTGCAAGTGCCGCAAAACTCTTACAAAATCTAATAATACAGGGCGCTGCACAGTGGCGACCGACAGTGGCATTGTTTGTAAACTGTTCTGTATTTGTGTAATAGTGTGTATTTATGTATGTATTTACACATGTGTGTATTTATGTATGTACGTGTTTATATTTATGTATTTATGTATGTATGTTTGCCATTGTAAAACAAAGTGCCCTTCTGGGACAAACAAAAGTGTAATTTATTTTTATTATTATTATTATTTATAAATATGCTTTGTTTTGTTGGTTTCCTCAGATCATCAATGGGTGGCTCGTGATGTCTTCAGTGATGCTGCTGTTTTTCTTTTCCTACATATATCTTGAGTGAGTATGCACGGATACGAATACGAGTTGCTGTTTAGTTAAGTGATTGTAACAGGAAATGTCCTTTCAACATGAGGAAAATCTTGGTAGCAGTCAAAATGTGGGTGGTTGGCGGGTGCTCTGATGTGGTTTGCTTTTTCTTTTCTTCTTTCCTTTCAAACATCTATCGTCCTTATCTCCCCTTCTCCTTTTTTTATGTTTGTTACTCTCTTGTAACACCTCTAATCTCCTGGCGCTCATATGAACTTATGCTGTAAAACCTCCACTAAAACTTTTTTTAAATTGTTTCTGATGGCACCCGTTTTCAAAGAGCTAAGTGGCTGTCTTAGACAGGTGGCCATCTTACACAGTGTCATTATGTTGTAAAAAAAAATGTAAGTTGGGAAATGGGAAGTGACTGTTTGATTTGTAGGTGTTTGACTTATACTGGTGGCCGTTGGACTGTATCTGTAAAAAAAAAATGCATTTGATAAGTCCTACTCTTCCAAGAGATATATAATTTGTATTGCTATTGGCTATAAGTTCATGCAGGCCGTCTCATTTTTCTTCGATCATCCACCATTGCTTCAGAGGACAATTTTGGTTAATTTGGAAGTGGTTCTTTTTAAGACCTTGAAATTTTGAGGACAAAAGTAATTTTATGTCATTTGATAAAATTGTTTCACAAAGATCTTTGTCTCTCATCACTTTTCCTTTTCTCTTTTTCTTTTTGTCCTTGAACTGTCAAGGGATTCAATATGTTTTGAAATATTGTCTGTGGCTTCAAGTTATTTTATTCAATTCTCTCTAGAAATCATTCATTAACCCTTTAATTTAGCAGGTGGCTGGAAGAGACCACTGACAGATCCTAATTTTTTTCCCCCTCTGTTGTCTCTGTCTGTCCCTTTTGTTTTTTCCCTGCACAAAATGACAGTTATTGCGTCTCCATGCTTCTCTTTACACAAAAAAAAAACCCCAAAAGAAACAAAATTTGCATTTGGTAACCCTCTCTTCGGATGTAATTGCATGTGGATGCTCTTCTGTGCTATTGCATGATAAAGGTTCAGTTTTAAGTGAAGTAAATAAAACTTACGGGTGTCAGGGAAAGATCAGGATAACGTGGCTTTTCTAAAAGCATCTGAGCAAAGGAATGAATGGCGAACCATTATAACCGATGTCTGTTACAGATCTGGCACTTGAAGACGATGGGGAAAAAAACAACCCCAACCCTGTGAACTTTCATGCCCTTTTTTATTTGCAGACAAATTCTACGTGCCTACAACGTCCCGATGGACTATATCACAGTGGCTATCATCATGTGGAACTTTGGCGTGGGGGGCCTGTTCTGCATCCACTGGAAGGGGCCGCTACTCCTGCAGCAGGCGTACCTCATCAGCATCAGCGCGCTGGTGGCCCTCATGTTCATCAAGTTTCTGCCGGACTGGACGACATGGGCCGTGCTGGGCGTCATGGTGGTGTGGGGTGAGGACCAAAGACTGCTGTCTTCTTTATATCAGAGGATAGGATAAACTTTTGTGTCACTTTACAGGCTAATCTCCCTATATGTTGGAGCATTCTCTGTCAGAGGACAGGATAAACTCTCTGTCACAGAATAGGATAAATTCTTTACCAATGAATAGGATCAACGTTACGTCACATGATAGGATAAACTCTTTATGAACAGATAAGATAAACTCTTTATCAAGGGATAGGATAAACTCTATATCAAAGGATAGGAAAAACTGAACATCAGAGTATAGGATAATCTTTATTTCATGTTGTAGTATAAACTCTTTGTCAACGGATAGGATGAACTCTATGTCATAGGACGGGATAAAGTCTGTGTCATGTTGCATTAGAGGAAAGAATAACTCTAATAAAGTCAAAGCTCAAAAGGCTTGAACTGGTAGTTCCTTGTCTTCTTTTTAGCAATGCTTATTCACACCAAATTTGTACTCGGATGAAATGCTTAAATTACTTTGTTGAGTGTACCCACCGATTTACAGATAGGGGTATTCTACTGATTATCAGCCAAAGCTCAGTTTGAGGATTAAGTTTGAATCACTTTCTGTGTTACCATGCATTGTGAAGTTATTACACAGTTATTTCCCTTGTAAATAAGTGTTTGTTTTTTAGGTCTATATGTACTTGTCAAAGACGGCCATAAAAGCAAATTCTTTTAGGAGCAAACTTAGGGCTGAAATTTGTCGTAAATCAGGTCAGATTGTAATGTTCCAATACCACTGATTGCACTACCCTTGGTTTTGCTTCAGTGTTTTTTAGTGCTAACTTTTTCTCTCAATCCCTTTGTTTTTTTTATGTGTTTCAGATTTGGTCGCCGTGCTGTGTCCAAAGGGCCCCCTTCGCATGCTGGTAGAGACAGCTCAGAACAGGAACGAGCCCATCTTCCCAGCCCTCATCTATTCTTGTAAGGGCACATGTTGCACTGTGTCACTGAGAAAGAAGTTACTGTACACCTGGGGGTTTTTTTCCATGCTCTTTTTTTTTTTCTTTTTTTTTTCTTTCTGCCAGTGAAGCAGTGCCTCTTTTATCATTTCACGAATTACTGGAATTTGAGAATTTCTTTAAAAATCACGGATTCAAGTTGGGCGTAAAAATAACCCGGTGTACAGTAATTCTTTTGTCCATACTCACTGCATAAGTTTGGCACTAACGTGTCATGTTGATGTAGGTTTAGAGCTCTCATAATATATTTGTCAAGATTTTGAGAAGGAGAATTGTTTTCTAGGGAATCCATCTCAACAAATGTAAATCTGGACTGTAATTTCCTTAAATAAACTTTATATGAGTGTATAGCTTTCTTTATTGAGAATGCAGTCTCTAGGTATCGTTTGTTAGCTGATCTATAGAACTTTTTGTTGAGTTGATCCTAACAGTCATTAGAATAGATTAGCAGATTTGTGAGGTATTCTGCAATGTTCACATTTATCTGCAAGGTCAATTCGTGCGATATGCAGAGTTTTCATCATGCTTTGTTTCAGGAAAACTTACATTGACTTTGGAATGACTTCTAAATGGCTGTAGCATAGGAAGAAATTGAGTTAGTTTTTCATAAATATTTTAAGATAACAATAATAATAACGATAATAGATTGTTGACTTCTCTAGGAAAAGTTTTGAATTTGCAAATAGATAATTGTTTAGGATTATTATTGTCCGTAAAGAAACTTTTTTTTATATGTGTGATGACACATTTGAATTATTTTCTCCTTTGCTCTACAGCTACGATGGTGTGGACTATAACCATGGCTGATGGTGATCCAAACAAGAAGAAAAACAAAAAGAAGAAGAAGCAAGAAACTACAACAGGTTTGTTGATTTTTTTATTTGTTTTTAAATTTCAAGACAATTTTTGTCCATGCTACTCTGAAAGAAACATGTCTACTTTCATGGTTGACTTGTGCTGAGTTCATGACTTGTGCTACCTCGTCAATGCTCTGAGTGGGACCTCTGTGTGTCAGATGTTTTGTTTAATTCCTTTTGTTGATTTCCAATTCTATACCCCATGACTGCTAACGATATATATGTACCCCACATGCTAAGAAAAATTCCACTGTACTCAAGATGTTGCAGGTCACCATCCAAAATTGACGGTTGCTTGCATATTATTGGAAGTGGATAAGTATAACGACAGTGGACTCCTCTTAAACCAAACATAATGAGTCCGAAAACAGCAGTAAACCGAAGGAAAAGAAAACCTCCGATGTTTATTATTTTTTTATTTGCGCAACTTCTCTAAATTGAAAACCAGGCTACGCCGAAGAAAATCCAGCAATCCCGTGGATTTCAGTTTAAGTGGACTCTGCTGTACATATCAACGAAAAGAGAAATGAAGAGATGTCTTCTTCCATTGACAATATCCTCTTTGAACATGCCATGACTATATAAACAACTTGAAAACTCTGAAACAACACGTCAGCTCTGACTGTCTCGCAGGATGTGTCAAAAAAAAAGAACACGCTCACTTCTCATTGGTTTATTTGTTACAGAATCTTTGCTTCCCGTCAAATAGTCTATATATATATAGATGTGATCTCAAAGCTAAAACAATAAGCTTTCAAAGGATGGCACTCTCTTTATTCAAAACTTGGTCATAGCTGAGATATCAGCAACAACAACAAAAACACAGGTTGTTTTGACATAGTTCTGCAGTCCAAAGGGTTAAATACTTTCCCTGGACCTTGGGGTTTTGTTGGGGGGGGGGGGGGGGGGGTTATGACTACAGCCTTTCTTTTCTCATAGAAGTATGCCTGATTATAAAACATTCGAGAGTCTGATTGTCTTTTCTCTCTACAGTTTCAGACAACTTTTCATTTGAATCATCATTTGTTTCTCTTATAGAAGGTAATTTTGGACTTACCCCCCTCACATATTTTGTTTGCATATTTATTTTGTTTTATAATCTTAATTAATTTTTTTTTGGGGGGGGGGGGGGGGGAATTTGGAAAATCATACTTCTTCGTGTTGAATGTACAGTCGAATATGTTCAAGATGATCTCCCATTGTCAAAGAGAAAAGTGGTCGACTTTGACAGGTAGTTACCTTGGACACGGTTATTGTAATATAAAAAACCCACAAGGCATGAAGTAGTCATTTGTACAGGTGATTGCCTTGTACAGCGCCTTGTACAGGTGATTGCCTTGTACAGGTGATTGCCTTGTTCAGGTGATTGCCTTGTACAGGTGGTCTCAAGAGTACATTCGACTGTATTCACATTTTTCTAACATTGGTGGACCCTCCCAATACCTTAAGATGTCTTACGTTCCTGGCAGATAGGCGGTCTTGTTCTTCCTCTTTTATTTTTCATTTTCAAATTTTTTCTCGGTGGTTGTGGTTGCTTTTGTTTTTAATTTATTTGTCAGTAAATTTCATTGAATGTTTTTGCTTTTGTGGGTTTTGGCTCTAATATTTGCGAGTGGAGAACAAGTTCAAGTGGCAGCTGCTCTAGCTGGTATGTCTGCCTAGAGGACGGAGATGTAAGAATCTCACAGTGACAGAGCTAGGTGATTGTTCGTTGTCATTTTATATTTTTAAAGCGGGGGGGGGGGTCAGAAATGATCATTTGTACAGGTGATTGTCTTGGACAGGTGGCTTTTAGAGCCGGTCGGACTGACTTTTTATGGATAAATACGATTTCTCAATTAGAAAATTTTCTGATTTAAGAATAAATTTTTGATGGAGAACGCACTTGAAGACATAGGCTGGGTACTGTGGCAGTTGTTTGCGGGGGGGGTTTTTCTTCCCTAACTGGTTTTGTTTTGTTTTGATGCAATGGCCTGTATGATGTTGTCACAGCAGAGAAACATTTTGCCATAGCACCGTTTTTCATTTTGATTGTTCTTTCTTTCACCTGCACTGTTTTTTTAACTTGTTTGCATCGTGTAGGAAGATGAGATGACTTTAATGGTTGTCTGCTACATAGTTTTCTATTCTAAGGGTAGGTTACGTAAAAATGTATTGATGTGGTGCAAATTATTATATTTCAAGGAAAAAAGAAACAAGAAAAACCCAACAAGAAAAAGGGGAATCGTGTAGTCGATGATGATGATGATGATGATGATACCACGCTAATGTAGTAAAAGTAAGCTGAAAGCACGCTGCTGGGAATAGAAAAATGTCAATATTGTTTCGGAAAAAAACTTGTTATGACGAACAGGTGTTGTGTACCCCCCCCCGTTTGGGCTTGTGACCTAGTAGTATGGGTTTCATTTTTGGCAGAACCGCGCTCCGTATTCACATTATTAGTAAGGATTTTTTTGGGGGGGGGGTTCATTTTCCTCAGATGTGAATTAAGCGCAAGCATCTGTTGGGGGTTAGTTGCGTGTAGACGGGGCAGGTGGCGGGCGCTCTGTTGTTGTGGTTTACTTCTTTTATTTCAAACCTCTATCTTCCATACCTCTCCTACTTGTCCTTGTTTGTTACTCTCAAGTGACACCTCTATCTTCCATACCTCTCCTACTTGTCCTTGTTTGTTACTCTCAAGTGACACCTCTATCTTCCAAACCTCTCCTACTTGTCCTTGTTTGTTACTCTCAAGTGACACCTCTATCTTCCATACCTCTCCTACTTGTCCTTGTTTGTTACTCTCAAGTGACACCTCTATCTTCCATACCTCTCCTACTTGTCCTTGTTTGTTACTCTCAAGTGACACCTCTATCTTCCAAACCTCTCCTACTTGTCCTTGTTTGTTACTCTCAAGTGACACCTCTATCTTCCAAACCTCTCCTACTTGTCCTTGTTTGTTACTCTCAAGTGACACCTCTATCTTCCATACCTCTCCTACTTGTCCTTGTTTGTTACTCTCAAGTGACACCTCTATCTTCCATACCTCTCCTACTTGTCCTTGTTTGTTACTCTCAAGTGACACCTCTATCTTCCATACCTCTCCTACTTGTCCTTGTTTGTTACTCTCAAGTGACACCTCTATCTTCCATACCTCTCCTACTTGTCCTTGTTTGTTACTCTCAAGTGACACCTCTATCTTCCATACCTCTCCTACTTGTCCTTGTTTGTTACTCTCAAGTGACACCTCTATCTTCCATACCTCTCCTACTTGTCCTTGTTTGTTACTCTCAAGTGACACCTCTATCTTCCATACCTCTCCTACTTGTCCTTGTTTGTTACTCTCAAGTGACACCTCTATCTTCCATACCTCTCCTACTTGTCCTTGTTTGTTACTCTCAAGTGACACCTCTATCTTCCATACCTCTCCTACTTGTCCTTGTTTGTTACTCTCAAGTGACACCTCTATTCCTCAACACTTATATGACCTATTTGTGTTGCAAGTACCGTGTAAAACTCTTACTAAAACTAGTCATAATAATAATGATAGATAGCATTTGTATAGTGCTAATCCCCGCTCAATAGCAAGCTCTATGCACTTCACAGTCTGTACCAATACCCCAGCAGACCTGGGAGCATTCTGAAACAACCTCAACTTCCTGGGAAGTGTGACTCTTTACAGAACTCTGTTTAGTGTTCTTTGTGTAACTCAACAGCTGAAGAAAGCGCGAATGGCGCCCAGGCGTCGGGTGGTGCAGACGAGGACGACGGAGGGTTCCAGGAGCACATTCAGAACGGAGGATCAAGGTCACGAGGCTTATCCAGTGGCAGCGAATCAAATTCTGCCCGCACAGCGGTTGCCGCGTTAGGGGATATGTCTCAAGGTAAGAGAAAGACACATAGGTAGGTCTCAAGGTAGGAGAAAGACACTTCGATGTCTTAGGAGAAAGACACATAGATAGGTCTCAAGGTAAGAGAGAGACACATAGATAGTTCTGAAGGTAAGAGAGAGGCACATAGATATGTCTTGTGGAAGGAGAAAGACACATAGATGTTTTAGGAGAAAGACACACAGATATGTCTCAAGGTAGGAGAAAGACACATAGATGATTTATGGTTTCTGTTATGGCCTATTAGAACAATTCTGGCAGAGAAGAGCTTGCCACATTTTGAGCTTTTAGAAGCTTCATTTCCACGTGATGCCTCATAAGAGTGTTTGTTTTTTCATCAACGAGACTGATGTTCTCATATTTCTGGGATTGTTTCCAGCCGATAGCCCGCGGCAGCAGCGTGCCAAGGTTGACACAGTGGCGGTGGATGCTGAGACCACCGTGGTGGTCAACAGAAACCCCCCCAGGCCACGAGCGCAGAGAGCCGCGACAGATCAGCAGAACCGACAGCGGAACGAGTCGGAAACAGACGTGGCCTCCTCTGAGGCGGATGAAGATCGTAAGTTTCTCTACTGATACGTGTCTTTTTGTGTGTGTGTGTATCATGTGTTTGTTTTTGTGTTTTAGAAGATTGTGTGTTTTTCTGCTTACTCGTCTTTTTGTTTGTGGGAATGTTTGCTTTTGTGTTTTAAAAGATTCTGTGCTTCTTTACTGACATATCTTTTTATTTGTGTGAATAGTGAATGTTTGTTTTTGTGTTTTAGAAGATTGTACACTATCGTCTTTATCTCTCCCCCTTCTTTTTTATGTTTTTTACTCTCTTGTAATACCTCTAATCTTCAGCGCTTATATGACCTTATTGTGTTGCAAATGCCGTAAAACTCTTACTGAAACTAAAACTACAACACTTCTCTATTGACATGTCCGTATATGTGTATTTGTTTTTGTGCATTATGCCCTTGTTTAGGGCTACCCCGTCGTCTTTCGATACTTGTGTGTTTGTTTGTTGTTTGTCAGCATACCTGTGTGGGTGGTTGATGGGTGCTCTGGTGTGGTTTGCTTCTTCTTTCCTATCAAACATCTATCGTCCTTATCTCCCCCCTTCTTATTTTTTATGTTTGTTACTCTCTTGTAACACCTCTAATCTTCTGGCGCTGATATGACCTTATGCAGTCGCGAGCGCTGTAACGCCTCTGCTAAAAAAAAAAGCATACGTGTGCAGTGAACACATTTTTTAATATGTGTCTCTACATATATGCGATATTGGCTGCACTATCAGTAATGCTGAACTGTGTTGGCCATGTGAGCTTGTTGTTTTTATATCAAATAATCATTTTACGGGGAAGACGCTGCTGTCTGCGGCGAGTTGTGGCGTTTGTGATCGTTACCAAGCTGCTTGCTATAATTTCCTTTACTTTTCTCTCTTTACTATACTAGCTATCCCTTTAAATATGGATTAACTGTATGCACTGTGCTTACCAGGACTATGACATTGTTTCAGAATGCTATCAGGTGTGCCGGAGTAATAATATAGATTATAAAGCCCACAGAACTTGCTGTTGAGCGGGAATTTGCGCCATACATATGCCATCTGTTATTATTATTATTATTATTATTATTATTATTCCGTTTTCAGGTGGTGTTAAACTGGGACTTGGGGATTTTATTTTCTACGGCGTGTTGGTCGGCAAAGCTTCGTCCAACGGAGACTGGAACACAACCCTTGCCTGTTTTGTGGCCATATTGATCGTAAGTAGCTTTGTTCTTCCCCCGTCACTGCTGGTGCGGCTTGTTTCTTCTTCTACTTGTCAACTCTCTGTTTCTCATATGATCAGCTGAGAGCTTGAGGTGATACTATGTTCACGTTCCTTGTTTTGAGAAAAAATGGACTTATAGGTAAGGTGCACAAGGCTACTCCAAGATCCGTAGGGAGGTCTTGATGTCTTGAAAAAGTCTTGAAAATTGAGCTGGCTTCTCAAGGCCTTAGAAAGTCTTAACTCACTTGCGACTGGGCCCTTTCACCAGTCACAAGCGTTGAAGACTGGCGTTTTGGGGGGTATTTCAATAAATCACCACAACTCTCAGAATTACCCTATTGTAATCATTTTTTGACACAGTAAAGTAACATTCGAGCTTAATCTAATACAAAAAACTAAAGTT